CAGATTTTTTACATTGTGTAGGGAAGGGATACAATGTTTCAGGTTTGTATAAGCTGTGTCCCCTTGGGGAGTTTCTCCTCACTTCCTGTGTCCGTGCCCCCGCCGAAAATAAAAAGAATTTCAAAAAAGTTTCTCAGCTGCCAAAAGCTTTTCCTGAGAAGTAAAAAAAAAAAAAAATCAGGATTCTGCAGCATGTGGTTCTATCGTCACTTTTTATTCTTCCATTATTTTCTATTCTTAAGATCTATTCTTACATTTCATCCTTGTTCTTTATTAGATTTATTGCAGTCGTCTGCCCAGCTGCAAGTAGAGCCATTGGGGGAGATTTCCCTTCACTTCCTGTCTTGTAGACACAGCAGAAGGAATTTACCCTTCTTAGTTGTCTGCAGGACAAGTGTCCCCGTTGGAATCTTTCACTTCCTGTCTTGTAGGCACAGCAAAAAGGATTTAGCCTTCTTAGTTGTCTGCAGGACGTGTCCCCGTTGGAATCTTTCACTTCACTTCCTGTCTTGTAGACACAGCAGAAAGGATTTACCCTTCTTAGTTGTCTGCAGGACAAGTGTTCCCGTTGGATCCTTTCACTTCCTGTCTTGTAGACACCGCAGAAGAGATTTACCCTTCTTAGTTGTCTGCAGCACAAGTGCCCCCGTTGGAATCTTTCACTTCCTGTCTTGTAGACACCGCAGAAGAGATTTACCCTTCTTAGTTGTCTGCAGGACAAGTGTCCCCGTTGGAACCTTTCCCTTCCTGTCTTGTAGACACAGCAGAAGAGATTTACCCTTCTTAGTTGTCTGCAGCACAAGTGCCCCGTTGGAATCTTTCACTTCACTTCCTGTCTTGTAGACACAGCAGAAAGGATTTACCCTTCTTAGTTGTCTGCAGGACAAGTGTCCCCGTTAGAAGCTTTCCCTTCTCTTCCTGTTCTGGTGACAACTGTAACATTTTGGATTTCCCATAATTTTCTATTTCGGTGACAAGAGCCATCAGGACAAAATAACGTATTTGCTATACATACACTTGGCCCCCTTTTTTCTGGCGGCATTATCCTTTCTTTCCTATTAATAACATTGGCAACAAGTCCCGTTCTTACTGGCCCGGCTGGGATCCCCCCCGGTGTACTGGCCCTTTAAATGGAGGCTGAGCGGGTGCTGTGTGGCACACGAGGTGTTAAAGGCTGACTGCTTTCTCCCATTGCAACACGCTGACATGTAAGAGGGAGGCTCGGCATCCAGTCTGGTGACACCCATATCCCTGGGAGGCATCTCCAGCTCTGTGCGAGCACCGCCACTGCTGCTGTCGGTGTCACAAGGATCGTTGTCACCGTCCCGCCCCCCC